AGAGATTTGAAGAAGGTCAATCCCGTCGTGTATTTGACATTATAACATGTGATGAAGCTTGGTTCTATCATTATGATCCCGAACTAAAAGAACAATCAAAAGTTTGGATGTCGACAACTGATCCACATCCAACCAAAGTCCATCGAAACAAAAGTGCCGGGAAAAGAATGGTGGCAATTTTTTTCATGAAATTTGGTTTAATTAAATCTGTTCCATTAGAAACAGGTGCTACGGTTAACGCAAACTAGTATGTCAACACATGCTTACCACAAGTCTTCACAGCGGTATCTGAACGAAGAGAAACGCGAGGTCTTCGAGGTCTCATTTTTCATGACGATAATGTAAGGCCGCATCGAGCATGGATTACCAATGAATTTTTGCTGGAAAATCACGTAGAACAATATCCAAATCCACCATATTCTCCAGATTTAAGTCCTTGCGACTTCTTCTTATTTCCAAAACTCAAGAAGCAGCTGCGTGGAATTCGATTTAACGACGACAATGAAATGCTAACTGCTTTAGAACAAGCCATTGACAGTCTCACAAAAGAAGATTTTAAAAACTGTTTTGAAGACTGGTTTATCCGAATGCATAAGTGCATTGATGCTAATGGACAGTACTTTGAAAAAATAAATTAAAATCCTCCTCTGAATATTTATCCTAAAGGCGTATGAAAAAACTTTTGTAGTGCCCCACGTATTTGTTAAAGTTCGTAACAATGTAGTCGTGGATCTTTCTTTTAATTTGAACTTGCATGTTAAAAATCAAGGAGGCCAAGTAATAATATATATTGATCTGTCATAGCAGTCATATAATTAATATGAGATGTATGATTCGATCTTTTTATCAGTGTGAATAATAAACAATATCGTCATTATGGATTAATTGAGACATAAGCTAGTGTGATAGTTGCTAATGCATATTACCTACATTATTCTAATAGTTCTATTCATCAAATAGTCGATGGTGGAGAAAAATAATTTCAAATTAAAAAACAAAAAAAAAGGATTATTATCAATTATATAGCAATAATTATGAATGAAATCGAGCGCGCTTAAATGAAAAAACAATATTTTCTTTTTCTAATATATTTTTTTAATATACAAATAAATAATAAATTTTCGCTCTTTTCATCGATTCTCAATGAAAACAACTATAGTTGACAAGAAGTCTTTCAGTATACAGATGATGCGTCAGGTAACAAAGCGAAAGGTATACGTGAGTTCCATATTTCAGCTCCACAGGAGCTGCGCTAACAAGCTTTTTTCATGCATTGTTCAGGTTACCACGATCCATAGATGATGCAACGATTGAATATTGTAATTTCTTAATTTGGTGAAGAACGAATTTTTCTTTAGAATAAGTTCATTATTCGTGGAGAAGATTTTTTTCCAATAACTTTTCAAGCATTGAATGAGCACAAAGGACAATTATCGTTGA